CAGAGTCTCACTCTGTGACCCAATCTAGAGAGGGCAGTGGCATCAAGTGATCCTCCTGCATCAGCTGCCCAGGTAGCTGTCACTATAGGTGTGCACTACCACGTTCAACTAATTTTTCTTTTCTTTCTTTTTTTTTTTTGTAGAGATGGAGGGTCTCACTTTTGTTTAGGTTGTTCTTAAACTCCTGGCCTAAGGTAATCCTCCTGTACCAACTTTCTAAAGTGCTAGGATTACAGGTGTGAGCCACTGTGCCGGGCCACCAACTTAAGTTTTGATAAGAAATCAAAATTCTTATTAAAGTGTGGAAAGGTAAATTTTAGATTTGATATTATGTCTACACATCAACAGTGACACACTGAGACATGATGCTCATACTCTAATATCAATCAATATTTTATGAATGCAAAACTTCCAACTTAAAATCTGAAACTTAGCACCACAATTTTCACCTCAATTGATCTTCTATCAGAACATCTTTGAAATAGAGGCAGGCCTCTTTCTACTGCTAAATCATCACTGAGAAGAATCAATTATACTGAAGTAAACTCACCAAGGCTCTAGGAAGACTAACAAAAATGCAAACATCAATTATTACATACAGATTATTGCAGTAGAATAACACAAAAGGTTTTTTATATTAAGTTTTATTTAAACAGGTAAAAATTTCTATCATCCTAAAAACAAAAATCCAAAGTTAGTAAATTAATCAGTAATACAAACTGATTACAGCAGTCATTAAAATAGAGGTAACATTTTACCAGTGCACAAATGTCATGGAATTCACATTCACAATCGATCTTTGATGATTCAAGGGTATATTCCATACAGTTGGGACTGGCCAGTTTTAACATAAAGTTCCTCCTCTGCATATGTTTTCCTCAGTCAAGTGTTTCCTCATCACTGTCTGTCAGCTCACACAGTGGAATAGCTGGCTGCTGTGGTGATTCCACGGTGGTTTCTCCATTGGCCACCTTTATGTAACCACTTATGTCCCATTCTTCACTAGCCAATACTTACTGTTATCCAATTCTGCTTTTTCAAATCTGTAGCCAACCACCAGAACACTGTGATCCACATCTTCAGTAGTGCAGTTTGGCTTAAAATAAATGCCTTCTTTACAGAACTGGAAAGACTCATGGCCTGCATCAATAGCAACAGAGATGGGCCCCACAGTTGCTACTGCCTTCATCAGGGCCTTCTCTTTAGGGATGTCCCCGAAGCCAGTGTCATTAGCAACAGAATACTTAGGCCTGTATTTACAGGATTCATCCATTGCATTGTATAGATAGGATTCCTCAGAGTCTAGGCCTCCATTCTCCTTAATATAATGGAAGGCATATTCCATTAGCCCACCATTGCATTCTTCATTGCCTTGAAGCTGAGAACAGTCCACCAGGTTCTGGCCACTCAGTGAGATAAGTTTGCCAGTTTCCCTTCAAGGGCACCATACTAAAAGCCCAACAAGAACCACTGACCCTGAATCACATAGCCTCTCTCTCTCCAGTCCACACTTTCTTATGCTTCTGGTTTCAAAAGCCATTCATCACCTGCTTGAATTCTTCATTGCCATTGTGAAACCATAATTCCCTTGGCTGTATTTCTGATTGTGCAGTTCAACTATTTTCATATTCTTTTCCCACACTGCTCTCCTCTATCCTTCTTCATTCATGCCATAAAGTCTTCTGTGTTTTGTCTTCCACTGATACCAGTGTGTATCTAAACTGCCACAAATGTTGAAGCAGCTGAGGTTATTCTCATGCAAAATGCAGCCAGGATGGGTAAAAGAATCACGCTTAAAAAATCTGCTCCCAGCTGCTCAAGCGCACTCTGCAGACATGAACCCAGGCTGCCAAACTCCACGGTTCTTATCAGAAACCGTTTAAGTCGTCAGTAATCATGCTATGGCTGACACCTGTTGGCTATGACATTGCTGAACTAAACTATTATCATCACACTGTCCTCTTGTCCTTTGATTGCCTGCTTTTGAGTAGGCTAGGTCTCCCAGAAGAAAATAAACTTATCTTCCTTCCCAGCAGTGAAAATATATTTCACTGACTGAATAAAAGTCGTTTTATTCATGTCCAAAGTTGATTTTTAATTATTTGAAAATTCTTAAATGTTTTATAAACATGTTATCTTAATTTCCTATTGGCACAGAAGGAAAAAAGTTAACTCTCCCTTCCTGCCTCATCTCCATCTTCCTTGCACAGCCTTTCCCTCAGATACTTACTCAGAACAGGAATACCACCTTCCAGAACCTGATTTGTAGTCACCAAGCTCTGAGAATTGTATTCTGTAAAGATTTACCTTCTTACTATGCTACTGTTGCAGAATTGAAAGGGGCAATTTCCCTAAAGCCAAAAGTTATATTGTTCGGCTGTGAGGTCCTGCTTGAAATAGGAAATTGGGAGTGCTCTTATTTTATTCATTCATGTTATGTTCTTAAATTTAGCACCTATTAATGTCAGACCATATGCTGGGTATAGGGGACATGGATCTACCAGTTGACTACTCAGCTGAGCCAGAGTCCAATAGAGGAATCAATGAACATGGCTTTAGTTTCTTGCATTCTTTGGCCATTGGAAATGATGTCTCAATAGATGCTAGGAGAATCTAAGGATCTTTGATCTGTCTTGCTTTTCATTTTCTCATTTTTAGCAAACTCATTTGCCTTCAGGAAGGCAAATGTTTTCTAATTAGTTTTATTGTTTCTTTATCTGCTAAAGTTTTTTGTGATACAAAGTGACTCTACTGCTTCTAAGCAGTCCTGGTGACTAGAATTATTACTGTAAGTGTGCTGTGACAAATGAATGTTTCTTTGGGAGAGAAGCCTCTTTTTCCTCACTAATTTATCCTGAATTTTCACATTATTTCCTTTATCTATCTAGACAAATGTGAATTGTACTATAGGTCAGGGACTTTACTACAGGTGTAGAAATAGCAATTTAAAAGATTGAGAATGTATTGCCATCTTTGAGGTTACCTTCTTAATCAGAATAAAGAAACATGACAAATTCATACAGATATACCTCAGATAGTGACAAGCACTATTTTAAAAACTCTACAGAAATAGAATACAAACATGCTTTCTTGATAATATGATCAACAATGTAGACTGAAAAGACTTGTAGAAAATTCTTCTAGATGTAGCATTTACTGAAAAAGTAGCCTTTAAAACATGTCATAGATTGGTAAAAATTAAAGAGAATCTTTTGAAAGAGGGAGTGACATGAAAGCATACTACAGCTATTGGAAGTTCCAAGGGTTATCTACTAATCCTTGGTATCCCACTTTTTAATCAAGATAGCTACATATCTTTAGGTAGAAGGAGAATAATCCTGGCAATCACTTACGGCAAGTTGGTAGATAATGAAAACATAAAACTAAAAAGCTCAAATGGTCATCCTTAGCAGGATAACTTGCTAAGAGAGTAGCAGAAAAAAATCGATCCTGCAGAGTAAGACAGAAATAAACAATCTAAGCTACCACTTTGGTTCTAAGAGGAGGAAAGATATCTCCCTGAAGAATTTATGGTCACAGGTAGGCCCTCATATGGCTGTAGGAAATGAATACACAGTATTTCCAAGCTCTGAAAAATTACAAATTATGAATTTTAAAATGAACTCATAGTTAATGTCTTTAGGGCATGGTAGAAAAAAACGCAAATCCTCTCTGAAAGGGCAAAAAGGATCTGAATAAAGGCCTACTCATATTCATTACATTCTGGAGTTTTCAAACATGCAATAAGAGAGAAAAGTCTTATCTATATTAACTAAACATAAAGGATTCTCCATTCATTTTCAGTGCCTAATTAATACAAGGGATAATATTTGCAACTTTTTTTACACAGGTTTCTTCTCTGTCAACCAGACTAGGGTGCAGTGGCATGATTATAGTTCACAGCAACCTCAAAGACCAGGGCTCAAGCAATCCTCCTCCCTCAGCCTCCTGAATGGCTAGGACTACAGGCATGCACCACCATGCCTGGCTAATTTTGAATTTTGTGTAGCGATGAGATCCTACTATGTTGCTCAGGTTGGTCTCAAACTTCTGGCCTCAAGTCATCCTCTTGGACCTTCAAAGTGTTGGGATGACAGGCATGAACCACCAAACATGCCCACTATTTTCAACACTTATTGTAAAAATGTATCAGACAATATGGGCTAAAATATGTAATTCCTTCAAGCTCACAAATGAAAGAGAACAGGTTAATTACCTACTCAATGTTTCAATAACAAGAGAGTTGTACAACCAAGATATGTAACATAAGTTAAAAGAAGGTTTCTACTAAGAGTTCTCTCAAGTTTAATCAAGTCTTAAGATGTGATGGAAAGATTTCTACGTTCAAGTATTACTTATCCAGAATAAATATTCTAACGTTGAATAAGGTAAAAATATGAAGCAAATGAGATTTACATGTACAAGATTTTCTTCTAGTAAAAATTCATGTTATATAACTTATGCATTACAACTGAAAGCATCCCCATACCACTTTATGAATTTGCTGATGCTGAGTAACTTGTGAATCCTAAAGTTTTTTTTGGTATTCCTTAATGTTCATTGGTTTCTCACCATTATGAATTATGTGATATTGAATAGGTCTGATCCATAAATAATGTTCTTCCCACACAGCTTATGAGACTATTTCTTGCTAGTCGGTGAGTGCTAAATAAAGTGACCCTTATTTTCCCAATTTGTTTGTTCTAACTTGTATACAATCTCTGATGACGTGTACTTTGTAACTATAAAGTCCCACATTGTTTTTTTGTTTGTTTGTTTTTTTAAACACTGCCTCAGTCTGTTGCCCTGGGTAGAGGGCTATGGGAACATAGTTCACAGCAACATTAAACTCTTGGGCTTGAGCAAATCCTCTTGCCTCAAATCCCAAGTAGCTGGGGCTATAGGTGCCCACCACTACACATAGCTAGTTTTTATATTTTTAGTAAAGATGGGGTATTGTTCTTGCTCAGACTGGTCTTAAAATTCCTGAGCTCAAACAGGATTGCACACATGAGCCACCTCACTGGCCACAGTCCCACATTGTTGACCTTCATGAGTGTTTATCCCCTCCAGAATTAATTCTGCTATGTTTAAGTTTGAGCTAAGACTAATGTTCTTCCCACATTCTTACATTCACAATATTTTACTGATGTTGAATAAGGTGTGAAAAATGAATAAAGGCTTTGCTAAATTACAGATACTCTTTCAATTTATAGGATGATGTCCTAATAAATCCATTGTAAGTCAAGGAGCATGCTGAATGTGTGTTGCTGTCACAATTTAATAAAGTTGAGAAATCTTAAGCCAAACCATCATAAGCCTGGGATTTCTGTTTATAATTATTAAAAGTTATGAATTACCTACTGTAAAGTTGTGAGCCATCAAGAAAAACTTTTGTACTGTGCTTACGTTCATTTTTTCCCTCCAATATGACTTCTCTGATGTTGAGTGAGTCTGGCACTCCAGATGAAGGCCTTCCCACATTCCTTACATACATAGCGTTTCCTGTTAGCATGAGTTCTCTGATGTCGAGTAAGATGTGAATGTTGAATAAAGGCCTCCCCACATTCTTTACATTTATAGGGTTTTTCACCACTATGAATTCTCTGATGCTTAGTCAGTTCTGAGCCACAACTAAAGGCCTTCTCACAATCCTTACATTCATAAGGTTTCTCACCAGTATGAATTCTTAGATGTCGAATAAGGTGTGATAACTGAATGAAAGCTTTCCCACATTCCTTACATTTATAAGGTCTCTCACCAGAATGAATTTTCTGATGTCGAGCAAATTGTGAGGCATGTCTAAAAGTCTTTCCACATTCCTTACATTCATAAGGCTTTTCTCCAGTATGAATTCTCTGATGTTGAACAAGGTGTGAACCATGGCTAAAGGTTTTCCCACAGTCCTTACACTCATAGGGTTTTTCACCAGTATGGATTCTTTGATGCTGAGTAAGTTCTGAGCCACAGCTAAAAGCCTTCTCACAATCCTTACATTCATAAGGTTTCTCACCAGTATGTATTCTTAGATGTCTAATAAGGTGTGACAGCTGAATAAAGGCCTTCCCACAGTCTCTACATTCATAGGGTTTCTCCCCAGTATGAATTTTTTGATGCCTATTAAGTTGTGAACGATGACTAAAAGCCTTACCACACTCTGTACACTCATAGGGTTTCTCACCAGTATGAACTCGCTGACGTCGTGATCCACAGCTAAAAGCCTTCCTATGTTCCTTGCCTTCATGAGGTCTCCTGTTAGTACGAATTCTCTGAGGAGAATCTTGAGAAGTCTTATGAAAAGCCTTATGAATGTATGTTGCTGGTGGGTGCAGGTTAAAACTAGGCATTTTTTCACAGGTGCTTTTCCTTTGCTTGCGATATTCTCCTTCAGTTCTCTGGTGTCTTTCAGATAGGCTTCTCAAACAGGATCCACCAAAGTCATGTTTTTTTAATCTTTCTATTACACACCAATGAAATGATTCTTTTTCAAAAAAGCTCTTTTTTGGAAATAACTCCTTGGTATCACACATGCACTGCAAATCTGAAAAATAAAGTATACACACACACACACATATAAATATTCCATGACAAATAATATGCAGCACTTCTATGACAGAAACTGCGAAGTGAAAATAATGCTTAATAGAAGTAATGGCTGAGGGCAGTGCCTGTGGCTCAAGGAGTAGGGTGCCAGCCCCATATACCAGAGGTGGTGGGTTCAAACCTAGCCCCAGCCAAAAACTGGGAAAAAAAAAAAAAGAAGTAATGGTTGAAAACATTCTCAAATATTGAGAGCTGGTGTCAGGGAGAAAACTAGAAAAAAAGTTAGGGAAAACAATGACCTACCTCCCTAGCAAGAGAGAAAAATCAGTTACTTTTGTCTGTGTCTTAAGCCTCTCTTTCTTCAGGCCTTCTTCCTTAGAGAGGTACTTCCCAACTAAAATAGCCAGGCTGCTGCTATGGGGCCAGCCAGGCAGCTGCTGTGGGGCCAGGTGGCTGCCACACCTCCCCTCTGCTGCTAGCTCCCACTCACCTGGGCAAGGTCTTCCTGTTGTGTCCCTAGTTATCAGCCATAGTTGCTTCTCTTGCTCCAGTAAGGAGATCACATCTGGCTTAACAATGGAAAATCCTACATGTAAGAGAAGAAACGAAACATGATCAAGCCATATGTGTGGCAGAATTCAAATCCAGTTTTTGGTCACTAAAGAAGAGAGACAATCAAGGGAGTAACAAGAGGAAAATGTGAAGGTCTTCTAAAGAGCAGTGTGCAACACAGATACCTTTTCCATAGTCCTCAGTAGCAAGGAACAGAAATTCAGACAATCCCCAAATCCACAAAGGTGAAGGTAGAACTTCCAAAGGGTGAATATTAACACTGAATCTGCAAGTAAATATCCTTACTGACTGAGAGAAGATTGCTGTAGTTCTCCAGCATCACATCTCTGTATAATTCCCTCTGAGTAGCATCCAGGCAGTCCCATTCCTCTTGAGAGAAGTCTATGGCCACATCCTTGAAAGCCACTGACTCCTGAAAAAAGTCAACATATACATCGCCAGTGAAACAAAACATCTTTCCAAGATGGAAAGAATGATGGAGAATGGTGTTACAGAAAGTAACAGAGTTAGGCTAGGGCTACAGGCATGAGTGTGGTCCTAAGCAGGGAACCCTGGCCCTGTTACTGTAGAAAAAACCTCCTCCAGATGGAAGGGCTGGAAATGAACAAATACTATCAAATAGACTTTCCCAAATACATGAAATTTGTGTAGCACAAAGCACACAGTTTTGAAGAATAAGAAAATAAACTCATGCTTCCATCTGTTTTATTTATTTATTTATTTGAGATAGAATCTCACTTTGTCATCCTTGGCAGAGTGCCGTGGCATCATAGCTCAGGGCAACTTCAAACTCTTGGGTCCAAGTGATTTTCTTGACTCAGCTTCCCAAGTAGCTGGGACTGTAAGCAGCTGCCACAACACCTGGCAACTTGTTCTCACTGTTGCTCAGGCTGGTCTCAAACTTCTGAGCTCAGGCAATCCACCTGCCTTGGTCTCAAGCGTGAGCCACCATGCATGGCCTCAATTCATTTTATATTATGTTTTTTTTTTCCTGAGACAGAGTCTTACTGTGTTGCCCTTGGTAAAGTGCTGTGGTATTACAGCTCACAGCAACCTCAAACTCTTGGGCTTAAGCAATTCTCTTGCCTCAGTATCTCAAGTAGCTGGGACTACAAGCACCTGCCACAACACCTGGTGATTTTTTCTCGCTATTGCTCAGGCTGGTCTAAAACTCCTGAGCTCAGGCGATCCACCTGCCTTGGAATCAGGCATGAGCCACCATGCGTGCATGCATGGCCTTAATCTATTTTATATTATGTCCTTTTTTTTTTTTTTTTGAGACAGAGTCTTACTATGTCGCCCTAGGTAGACTGCTATAGTGTCACAGCTCACAGTAACCTCAAACTCTTAGACTTAAGCAATTCTCTTGCCTCAGACTCACTCCTCAGCTGGGACTAAAGGCGCCCACCACAATGCCTGGTTATTTTTTGGTTGTAGTTATCATTGTTGTTTGGTAAGCCCGGGCTGGGTTCAAATCTGCCAGCTGTACGAGGCTGGTGCCCTAGCTGCTGAGCTACAGGCACTGAGCCCATTTTATATTATGTCTTAAATTATTTCTGAGTTTGAAGTACAATTTGTACATGATGTAATAATTTCCTGGTGACTCTGTTTCATGGTTATATAAGAATTTAAGATTGTAAGCATCTTAATACATATTGTAAGCATCTCAATATAAATAATCTAATAAAAATATTATTGCCTGGTATCTACAAGATAAATGGGATATCTTATGGTTATAACTGACTTTAACCATTCTTAAGCTTTATTTTTAGACATCTAAAATGTTCCAGATTTCTCACTGTCTTCACAGATAAAAGTTATTATCTAGTTATCCTGTCGTATCTAATTTAAAAATTCAGTGGAAGAAATCAAAGCTTTCTTATGTGCAGACTTACATGGCGATTTATGTTTGTCTTACTAAGCCATGGTTTTGTAAAGGGGCTTAATAATTCTTTAATATTTCTTTTGAGGGGACAAGCCCCATCTTCATTTCTGGTTAAAATGTGGTTAATTAAGAGGTGTCCAATAATCTGCTACTGACTGGGTATTCAAGGACATGTCCCTGGAGAGTAAAGAAGGGCTCAGGGAAGGCTTTAAGAAGTGTAATCCAGCACTCACAACAATGGCAGATCTTGGAGCAGGTTACAGAAAGGCCCACTAGTATTTCAGGATAAACAATAAAAATAGAACAATTCCAACTCACGTGACCCTTAGCTTTTAGCATTCTGTCTTCTTCTGGGAGATTATTCTGAGATGGCAGAGCTGGATGGAAAAAAAAAGTCAGAGGAGAGCCTGGTTTCCTCAGATTTGCCAAACTGATTACTACCATGACACCTTCTCTCTCCCTAGCTGAGAGACCACACACCTCTCAGCTCCATCCCCAAACTGAAGGAACTCTGACAGCAGAAATGCCACAATTATACCCAGGTGGCAAAAGTCTTAATTCCAACTTCTTACAGGAAGTTTCTTCAACATCCATGTTTCCACACTTTTGTTTTTAACTCTGCCTAAAATCACTCAGTGATTGTTTTGATACATGACATATAACTTGTAGATGTTTTCACTAACAGGTCCGTCAGAATAGCCTAGTCCCTCATTATAATATTCAGAAAATGTTTCCTTTGCTTCACCTTTTAATTAATCATATGTTCTAGAGAGATCATTTTATACTAGTACATAAAGAGCTACTTTATTTTTATCTGAACTGTTAAACATTTTCTCTTACAAATGATCCATCCTTTATTTAACTAGCTGACAATGAATATTTATATTATTCTCAAGTTACTGCTATGTATTTAATATTGTATCCCATATGTACAAATGTTATTTGTATGACAAATATTCAAAAGCAGAATTGCAGGGTCTATGCATTTAAAATTTTGAGAAATTGCTAAGCTGCCTAGGAGAGTTGAGAAATTGCTAAACTGCCTAGGAGAGATCCTCTGCTGTAATTTATTTCTACTGAGAGCATTATGTATTTTACTAACTATTAATACAAACCCATGTTAAGGGAAACTTGATGGTTTCATCTGGCAGAAGAAAACGATCCTAGTTGGAAGCATGGGAATAAACAAAAGCACAGGAGTAAATAAGTATGAGAATAAATTTAAATGAATATTAAGTAGGCCAAAAATATGTTATGTATAAATACACGTAGAATTAAAATTCACTTTTTTTTTGTTTTTTTTGTTTTGGCTGGGGCTGGGTTTGAACCTGCCACCTCTGGCATATGGGGCTGGCACCCTACTCCTTTGAGCCATAGGCACTGCCAAGAATTAAAATTCATTACCAAAAAATATGCATACTGGAGGTATGATGCAAGAGGAGGAAATGGACAGCAATTATTTGTATTAAGCAGTAACATGTCAGGATGCGTGTTATAATTTACGAACACTAAAATAAACCTCAATATAGAAAAAATAGAAGAAAAAAGGTAAAGATAAAAATATATAATTGATTCAAAATGAGGCAAAAGAGAACATAAAGCTGATGCATTAAAAACACATAATAATAGAATAGATATAAACCTGACTGTGTAAGTAATCATATTTAACGTAACTTGATAATGTAAGCTAACAAAGGCCAAAATTTTCACATCATATTAAAAATAAAATTCAACTATAAGCACAGAATTAAACTTTAAATATGAGGATAGAGAAAAATTAAATTAAAAGGATAAAAAAGTCATAGAATGTAAAAGTAACCCCCAAACAGCAGATTTAACTAGAGTAATATCAGACAAAATAGATTTAGTGTGTTCTATTAATCTAGGTAGGGTTGCACAAAATAGATTTAATGTTTTCTAGTTAATCTTGAATATTCACAATAATAAAGATATTAGCCAACAGGAAAATCACAAAATTATAAATCTGTATGTATATAGTAACATAACTTTAAAATGTATAATGCAAAAATAGACATAAATAAAAGAAAAAGTAGACAAAATACAAAGGTAGTGAGAGATTTAACACACCATTCTCCTTAGCTAGTGTAATAGCAAAAAAATCAGCAAAGATTAAGAATCTGATATAAATAGCAATGTTGATCTGACATACAAAGAACGCTACTATCAAATGATGGAATTCACATTTCTTTCCAGTGTGGCTTGAAATAGTTACCTGAACTGGCCATATCCCCAGGCTATAAAGAAAGGTTCAACAACTTTCAACAGGAAATTGCTCAGAGAGTATTTACAGACCATATGGTACTAAGCTGAAAGTCGTTAATAAAAATGTCCAACTGCCTAGAAGTTAAACTGTATACTTAAAAAATACCTTTAATCAAAGAAGACGTGAAAATTGAAATCAGAATATATACATTGAAAAATAATGATGTATCACATATCAAAACGTGTGGGATGTGCCTAAAGTAGTGCATAGGGAAAAACTTATGGCCTTAAAAGAAAGCAGCCTTAAATAAAATTTATAGCATTCCCATAGGAAAAAAATAAGGCTGAAAATTAAGTGTTAAAGTTCTCATCTTAAGAAGCTAGAAAAGGAACAGGAAGACAAACTTAATGAAAAAATTAAAAGAAAGATAAAGGAGATCAGTGACACGGAAAGCAAAGATACAACAGAGAAAAACAAATCCAAAATTGCTCCTTTATAAATATTAACAACAAAGATAACCCCCTAAAAAGGCCAACCAACAACAAAAAAGAGAAACAAGGATAATAATAATAGTAAGAATTTAAAATACGTGCTTATAGATCCTACAAATATGAAAAGGAAAATGATATGAACTTTAACCCAGTAAATATAAAAATGTAGGTGAAACATACAAGTTTCTCAATAAATATAAGAAGTAGAAAATATGAAAAGTCTATTATGTAAGAAATCAGTCATTAAAAATTCCCACAAAGAACAAAAATTCCTTCAAAGAAAATAAAGGCCCAGATGATTTCACCAATGACATTTTCCAAAAACTTAAGGAACAAATGTCATTGATCTTAAACAAACTTTTTAAATGAGATCAGCATAACCTTGATGAAAAACTTGACAAGGAAGCAGGAAAAATTACAGACCAATCCCTCTCATGAATAAAGCTGTAAAATCCTAAACAAAACATCAGCAAAACAAAATCAGATAATATGTAAAAATAATGTATCACACTCAAGTGGGGTTAATTCGAAAACTGTGAGAGTTCCCTGACAGATGGAAACTAATTGGTGTAATTCACCTCGTTAACAGAACAAAAGGGAAAATTACATGATCACCCTGATGCAGAAAAATAATTTGACAAAATTCAGTATCTAATCATGGGAAATCAGAGGGAATGTGACCATAAACCTGAAAACTTTAAGCATATATCTTAAAGTGCTGTCTCAAAATTCAAAATTAATGCTAAAAAACTGAAAAACATTTCCCTTATGATTTGGAAAAAGATTCACCATTTCTATTCAACTCAAGTTCTGAGTTAGTGCAATAGAGCAAGAACAAAAGACAAAAGGCATAAGTACTGAAAAAGAACTAGTTAATATTATTCACAGAGGACATAATTGTTAACATAAAAATCTCGAGGAATTTACAGATAAACTAGATTTGAGTGATTTCATCAAGGTTGCTGGATACAAGCTAACTTAAAAAGCGTCAACCTGATTTCTATAAATCAAGAACAAACAGAAACAGAAAATTTTAAATGATGTCCCCTTTCAACAATGTAAAAAGAAATAAACTAGCTACCCCCAGACTTGAAATGGCAGAATATTACTGAAAAAATATATGGAGATACAGAAACACCATTATTAGATGGCAATTCTCTCCAAAACTTTATAGTTTCAGTACAATCCTAATTTAAAAATCTAGCAATTTGTTTTAGGAAATCAGCAAAATTAGTGCTAAAATTCACATAGAAATGCAAAGAGCCAAAATAGCCAAAGCAATCTAAAAGGAGAACAAAGTTAAAGATCAATTCAGATCAAGTAGAGACTACAGGAATAGATTCATACATATAGCTACCTGATACATGACAAAGGTGTAATTTCAGTACAGTGGAGAAAGGATGATCTTTTTAATAAATGGTGCTGTGTCCATTAGCTATCCACATGGGGAAAAAAAAAAATTCAAGCTCTAGAAATCAGTTCCAGATGGTTACAGATATAAATATGAAAGGCAAATTACTTTTAGAAGAAAGCATAAAATAACATATTCGTGGCCTTCGAAGCAGCAATGATTTTTTAAAATAGGACAAACAAAAAAGCATAACCATAAAGAAAAATTGATAAAATTGACTATATTAAAATTAAGAACTTTTGTGAATCAAAATATGTCACTTAGGCAACCACATCCAGCAAAGGATTCCTCTCCAGCATACATACACATAGTTTTATATATCCTAAAATCAACAACAAAAAGACAATAGAGAAACGGTCAAAATTTAAACAGACACGTCACAAAGAGAATATTCAAATGACCAATAAACCGTAAAATAAAGTACTCAACTTTATTAGTCATCAGGGAAATGTACACACATAGGAAGGGCTAACATGAAAACACGAAAAGTACCCAGTATTAGTGAGGATGTCAAGGAACTGGAATTCTCATACACTGATGGTGGGAGAATGAGTTAGTGCAATTACTTTAAAAAAAAACTCTGGCAGTATCTTCTTTGAGCATTTTCACTCCCTAAAGCCCAGCAAGTTCAGTCCTAAATAGAAGCCCCAAAAGAAATGCACACTTACTGAACGTTCACAGTAAAGGCTTTTTCTTTTTCTAACTTATGTTTTCCTCTCAACAAGAACAAAATTGCAGCCTTTATAATGGTCTGAAAATGAAAACCATTCAAATGTGCATTACAGTTGAACTGTGCTATAGTCCCACACCAGAACAGTTAAGAATGAATGAGGTATAACATATAACAATAATATCTCACATACTGAACAATACTGAACAACAAAAAAGAAGCCAGGCAGAAAACAGTACATACAGTGTGATTCCATTTAGATAAAATTAAAAATAAGTAAATCTCTAATGCCTTAGAAACTGGGATAGTGGTTACTCTTGGTGGTAAAATTGAGTATGCAGGCTCGGCGCCTATAGCTCAACCGGCTAAGGCGCCAGCCACGTACACCTAAGGTGGCGGGTTCGAATCCAGCCCGGACCCGCCAAACAACAATGACGGCTGCAACCAAAAAATAGCCAGGCGTTGTGGCGGGCGCCTGTGGTCCCAGCTACTTGGGAGGCGGAGGCAAGAGACTCGCTTGAGCCCAGGAGTTGGAGGTTGCTGTGAGCAGTAATGCCACAGCACTCTACCCAGGGTGACAGCTTGAGGCTCTCTCAAAAAAAAAAATTGAGTATGCATGGGTGTAGAATCAGAATGTTGGCAGTGGCTTCCACTAGACCCCCAAATCAAGTTTTTATGTACAATTTTTTCCCGTATGCATACACT